GCGTCGTTCAGTTCGTGAATGTAGGTGTTGCAAGAATCTATAGGGAGCAGGGTTGACACAAGCTCAAGGCCTTTTCGCCCCCCCCCCCCCTCTCTCTCTCTCTCTTCCCCCATGTTGTAAGGTAGCCTAGAACCTCCCCCACATCCAACTATTTATATGTTCTCTTTCTTTTTATATAGTTTTATATACATTTCTATTTTTTTTCTTTTTCACATGTGTTGATATATTTTTGTCATTCACCACATTACAAATATATATTCTTCGTCTTCTTTTGTCCTACCGCTAAATTCTTAAAGCGACCCAGAGAGGAGTTAAATGCCGTTTCCCGTCTGTTGCTAGTTGCTTAGCTTGTGTTAGTGTCATTCTGCGTGTCTTTAATGTTATTTTACTCCCCATACCCCTCTCTTTCTTGGTCGGCTTCTTGCCTTGTAGCCTGCTATTCTCGTGTAGTAAGTTCATCTTTACTGCCAATAACTGACTGTCTTATTGTTTTTTCCACTACACTTCTTGTATATATATCTATATATAATTGAGCCTTTTCCATTCCTTCAGGCGTATTGGAATTCTACGGCTAGACCTATATTTTATAGACCAATAAGCACTCGAAGTGTGAAAGGGTCAACACCACAACATCCGCCGTTACTTCCCAGGCGCTAACTGGTACCGACTCAACAATAGTTACGCCCTATAAGCCCGCTCTCCTATCCCCCCCCCCCCTCCCTGTTAAAGAGATGGGTGAGCTGCCCCCGCCCCTCACTTTTATTTTTTTTTAAATTTCGGCGCCCTTGAATGAGGTTCTGGTCATAGTTCGGGGCCCCTGCTTTGTGCCACGTTGTCGACCCATGACCAACCAACGCTTTGTCGAGGGAGACCCAGTCATTTGGAACAAAACCCAGCACCGGGAAACTTCGATCGACTCGCCTTTAGCAAAGTTTCGAGTCCAGCATATGTGTTCAGTACATTTTCAACTTCTTCCTACACCTTCATTCATCAGCAGTCTTATTTTATTTAAAGAAATACAAGTTTTAAAATCGGCACAAGGCGTCTCAAACCAACGCAGGTAATTATTGCGAGTGTTTATGTCTTTTTGTTTTGTTTTTCGAAGCAATGTTTCCTCGTTGTAAATCTGAACCACGAAGACACAAACAATAGATTGCACATTTTATTGCCTGGCATATTTCGCTGTATCTCGTCAGTTGCACAATACAGTAACAATTACATAAATTCAGCAAATAAGTTAATTCTTTATAAGTGAAGTACAATTTCAAAAACGATCATACATAACTGCCTGTGTTTTGTTGTTTTCTAAAGTCAGTTTTACAGTTAGTAGTTTTTTTTTTTTTTGGTTTTTTTTTTTTGGAAAGGCTCGAATTTCATACTGTTAGTTTTTAGAGGCAACGTAAAGTGGTCTGCAACTCTGCTTCTTCTTCTTAGCGTTTACATGAAGTTTGTTCGTCCACTTTTGTACTTTGGTCTTGTTCCACAACTTGAGTTTTGTGTGCACATTAAGTTTACACATCTAGCTATTTTTGTTTATGCAGACTGTTGGTTCCTCGCTCAGTTTAACTGCGACTTTAATAAAAGAACCCTAATCAGTAGTAGTTTGGTTATATTAGTGCCCCCCTCTGAGAACAGCCAATGCATTCACGAAGGGGGAGCTTAGGTTATAATTGTGACCAGGTTATGTGCGCTATATAAAAATGGCAAAGCATTGCACGCCACTAAGTAGCCCTGAAAAGAACGTTTGCAGTTTTGATGTGATTAAAGGAGACAGACTCAATACGTTGTCCTGACCGGCGACGAAGTCGTCTACCGACCAGGTGTGGGTGACCCGGTCGCCGATTGCCGGACACGGTAAGATGCGCAGTCAACAGTTTTATATCTCGCCCCAGTATGGGATGCAATTATTTTTTTTTATTAGTTTATAGCCCAACCCGGGCTGTCGTTGTAGGCCATGATAACGGTTGTACGTGGTTTCTGAAACTTCTGTCTGGATGATTCCTATCCGAATGGTTGCACTTGTGTCACCGCAGGTTTTTCGCTCGCTGTATGGTCCTCGTGGGGTAAACGTCACTGACTTATCTACTGCTAAGGGTAGGAAATACTATGGGCTAAACCCCTAACATCCTTAAAGGTTGTCTTGGGGGCCCCGTGGCCCTAAGACTTTAAGTGTTTAATAATAATATTATTTTTTTTTTATTATTATTATGTAATACAATGAGAATCAATAAATTCTTTTTAAAAAAAGAGAGAAGTTCTGCACCGATAAACTCCCTTAATATTTTCTGAAGAAGTGGGAATAAATTATTACTATTATTAATTATCATTTTGTTCATACAAACAACACGCATAAAGACGTAAAATGAGTCCTTTACTTGCTTACGTGTTAAAAAGGGAGAACCATTTTTATAAGCGGATTTCTCAATTGACCAGCCGGCAATCTCAGGTCAGAGGGATTTTCTAAATTTGGAATTTCCAAAACGGATTTTAACGCATTTGAAACATGCAAAAATATAACAAAAATATAATTCGTGATAATCAAAGAAAAAAATTCCATTTTGAACTTGAACAAAAATATTACATTACACTTTTTTTTTAATGTCATGGGAGAAATATATTGGTATTACACAAGATGAGAACAGCTAAGAAATCTGGCACACATTATCATGCTACAGAAACTCTCCCCTGAACATTTTCACAAAGTAAAAGTTTTCAGTCTCTTCCATTTACTTGCTATCTTGCTGCATAGGCGAGAGTTTATGTACACCTTCTTCAGTTACAGTGCACACCTCTCAGTCCTATTCATACACCAGTCGTAATCATAACAGACTCTGAAAGCATGCTGAGAAATGTGAGGACAGGTATGCTTCGAGCAAAGTGGCAAGCTTCACTTTGGATCTTTTCTCCAGGAAATTCCGGCATAGTGGGTAATGAACAGGCAGACAGATTGACTGGATCTGCACCACTGGGTGGTGAACTGATACATGACAGGGTGGATGTGGTCACGGCCTTTTAGGAACAAGCAACGGAATCAGTAGAGAAATAAGATTATTATGGCATGAGAGAATGAGGCAGCTGGGTGTAACCTGAGGGTCTGACCGGCTCAATACACTCAGAGAAAATGCAAGAGGGACACATAAACAGATTTTGACCAGTACCATCAGTATTGAAACTCTGCACTGGCTGCTGAAGATAGGGATGGAGCGAGCATGGGAACTCAACTCATCACAACTCAACCTCTCCATCCCCAGTTTCTTTCACATCATATCTTCTTAGAAGTAGCGCCTGTGTTGGTAATTATTTTGGCTGCGTTTTACTGAAAAGTCCGAATCATTTGATCTTATGCCTGTCAATAAATTTAGTGCAAGTTGTTGGTCCTACAGTCTGCTTAGGGCGGTTATGTTGGCGACTTTCTTCAGAAATCTAATCTCACAGATGTTACTTGAACGTAGGTCAGCATTCGATAGTCTAAGTTTGGCATCCAAGTGTTGACTGGTCTAAGAACATGTGAGTCTAGCCTCTTATGCCCGATGTACGGAAGATGCCAAAGCGTCCTTTACTTAATTAATTTACATAAAACATGTTTTATCCTGTTAAAACTCTTAAACTATTCTTCATTTAAAGGTGCTTGCAACGTTTTCCGGCCCCAAAAAAAGAGTCTTTCCTTCCTATGCCTCGTCGTGTCGCGTCTTATGTCGCGGGGGTGTCACGTTTACTGACCGGCCAGCAACACGTAGCATTTTATTCGCTGTTGTCAGAGGCCAGCGATATCTCATGTTCTATATTGCACTATGTGAGCGCTTTTAACAGTCCTAAAACACGTACAGCTTGTCCAAATCCGAACCTTCCTACTCCACAGTCACGAGATAGTGCAGCCTACGTCCCACGACTGCATGCCACCTATATTCTACGCTGCATACAGTCGTGCGACCTAGGCTTCATGCAGTCATGGGATGTACGCTGAGGTTGTGGGGTGGGGGTGGAGGTTTGGGTTTAGGGTCAGTTCTACATGTTTTGGGACCGCCTGCCGGTGACAACAACGAGAATAATACTACGTTCTGGGGACCGGTCATAAGCTTGAGACCCCCACGACATAGGTCAGAACCTGCGACACTATGAGCATGGATGGGAAGGGAAGTCACTCTTTTTTGGGGCTGGAAAAAGTTGCTATATCCTATTCAAATTATGTAATACATATTTTATCTTTTTCTTCTTCTTCAGCGTTTCAATCCCTCGAGGTTCGTTGCTGGAGGTAGCACTCGCCTCCATTGATGCCTTTTATTGGCCTTCTCTTTCAAGTTGGTTACACCAAGTGTTTGTAGGTCTGTCTGTAGATTATTTCTCCATCGTCTTCTTGGGCTACATCGCTGTCTCTGACCATTCAACTCCCTTGTGTACATAATTGTTATCTCTCTGTTGTCAGACATTCTCTCAATATACCCCAGCCATTTCACTCATTAACCCTCACGATTCTTGTGATAAGTATTTTAAACAGATTATGAATTTCGTTACTGCTTCTCATTTTCTATTTCCTGCTGTTTGCATCTTCGATGGGTCCAAAGATTCGGCACAAGACTGTTAAAATAAACTATAACAAGGCTTTATCTCGTTTAGTCGTACTCCAAGTTTCAGAGCCACATAATACAACAGATCTTATCAGTATTTTATACATTCTAATCATGGTGTTATCAACATGGTTCTTTGTTATGAGACAGAGACTTTGACTTTAGCAGAT